ATTAAGTAATTAATAGTATTAATAGTAGTAGTAAATCAAGAAGTAGTAATAAGAAAAATATCGTATTTTTTAACGTGGTAACTATGACTTAATGTGAGAAAAAATTTTCTATATTTTGAAAAGATTATAAATAACTGAATTATTTACTATTCTTACAATTTAAAACAACGTTATATAATTTATTAAACAATTAAAAACTTAGAAATATCAATTGACAACAAAAACTGGATGATAATTTCTCTGATTATATGTTTTAGGAATCGCATTTTTTTGAATTTTACGATAACGATACGAAAGTTACAGGACTCTGTGGCCAATTATGGATCCTTCTTTCTGAAAAATTGAATTTTACGTAAGATTGAACTGTAATTTAATCAGATCGCAATCTATTGTATGAGATTAATTGCTAATGAAACTAACGGTAAATAATTATAATTAAAAGATATTGCATATTAGATTACAGGCAGTAAAATCAAACGAAATTAGCGTAGGTGTAGTAAGAAACCAAAACGATTTACATATAGCAGGATTATTAGGCACACTTTTGCGCAATGAAACAATCGCGATACCCAAAGTCGAAATGCATGATGTTCGACTTGCAGCTACTGATTTTACAATCCCTTTATGGATGAATAGGTATGTTCAAGTGCTCCGTATAAGTACTTTTATTTTAAGTGCTCTGGTGATATATCTTCTAAAGCATTGAATAAAGAGGGAACTCCGAACTCTCTAAATTTCTTGGAATGAAATCTTACTCTAATAGAGTGAAAATATGGCATTTTTAGAGAAGAATGAAAATTGTCACTCTTTTTGAGTGAAATTTCAATGCAACTTTTGAAAAGAAGACATATATAATTATATGTGCATATACAATAATTTATTTTTATAAATATTCAGATTCTTTTATAATAATTTTACAGCCAGCGATCGTATATTCGACACGAGGTAATACATGACAGCACATGGATGGCAGAAGTGTTTTCTTGGAAAATATGGTGCTTTATATTGGTTATGCATTTATTAATAAGTGTGTGCAGTTTTTGGTCACAAACTGTTCATTTACGGATCAAAAATAATTGTAGACGCTCGACCTTCAGCGATCATATTTTTTACAACTTTGGAATGATCTGCAATCAAAGTATGAATGATTGACGTGAATGTTTTATCCTATTTTTATCCTATTTCTTGTTCTTTAACTATATCTAAATTGCTTAATTAAACGACAGATATAAGTATAAATAACTATTCCAGTAAACACAGATTATAACTCGTATAACATATAACTAGCATGTTGTTATTTCCCAGTCATAAATGTAAGATTTGTAATATGTAACATATTTGTATTATAACATATGTTACATTATATTGTACTCAGATATATCGAACAATTATTTGTTGATATCGTAAGACTCTAGGATACTTGATTAGTCTTGGCGTTCATTAAATCATATTCTTCTATTTGAACGTAATTACAATATAATTACAATATAACATATGTTATATTACAAGTATTAGTACATCTATAAATGGAAAATTACAACTAACATGTACGTTACATGTAACATATGTATTAGTTACATGTTATATACTATACAACAATTATATGTATATCTGTATTTGCTGGGATATAATATCACATACTGTGATATTAATTAGTATTGCATCTTTTTACGTATATCTTTTACAATAATTTGTATCATCTTAGAGTTCACGTCATTTAAACATAAAAGATTTTAAATTGTATAAATGTATTATAAGTATTATTAAGAGAGAAAATTAATATTATTTTGAAACTATATAAAAATAACGTGCTTGATAAAATTGAAAAATGATATTCTCCTCATCAATGATCCTCATCAAATAAAATGATATTTAATTATCATATACATATAACAACGAAAGATTTTTAATTTAAATAATAATTAACAATAGATCAAATTCCTAATATTCTTAATGGAAGATCAAGGATAATAGAATTATCGTTGGGGCTCTTTTGTTCTATACTGTACATGTCATATGGAGCTTTGTTATTCGTGTATATAGCAAAAAGAATTAATATTATAGCGCCATTTTATGATCTGACCTCTCTACTGACAAATACCGAATATAAAATTGTTTCTTTGGAAGGTTCTACTGCAGATTTAGCGTTTAAGGTATTAATATCATTTAGTTTTGTGACTATTAAATTAATTAATAATTTATTAATCTTTGAATTACATTAAAACCCTAATGAAAAAATTTCGCTGAAATTATTCCACGTTTTGGAACATTTCAGCGAAATTGCTGAAAATTTGCTGAAATTTCACTGAAATTGAATGAAACATGAAAGTGAATTTTTCAGTTACCATACTGAAAAATCATTGAAACTGAATTAAAATTACTCTGAAATTTCTCTGAAATTTTTGCTGAAATTTTGCTGAAAAATGTTCCAAAACGTGGAATAATTTCAGCGAAATTTTCTCGATTTTGTATCTTTTGCATATAACACTTATTATATGTATAAATATCAGTTATTTTGAAAATTTATAGATCAGCAATGCCGATATTTCTATACGAGTAAGAACTGCAGAATGCCCGCGCCGCCTCATCATTGTACCAACAGTCGAGAAAATGTTTGAATTGGCATGTATGAAAGATAATGGGAAATATACCATATTCCAAGGTGAAGACGACTATAAAGTAAGAAGTCAAATTGGATGTCATATGATCCCAGTTGGAAAATCCTACTACAGGATATGGGTAGCTTCCGGCATTGTAAAAAACTTTAAATACAAAAGGACTATTGATCTCGGGTAAAGAAATTTCAACGGCATTCTGGTGAAAAAATTTTTCATATTATACATCTTATAATATTTTAACTCTTAAATATCACGCTACGGGAACAATACTACATTGGGTACAACATACCGTTAATTCGATTGCTTATAAATATCTCTTGTTATAAATATCGATATAAAGATAATTATATATGCGAAGATACAATTACTGATATTTCTAATTATTGATATTTAGTATGTTAAAAAAAAATATTTTCCCTCGACACTTTGGTATTAGAATTTTCGTTTCAAAATGATCTTAGAAATCTCCCCTTAAGCATTATTTTGGTCTTTAGGGGATACCCTTTATAAAAGAATTTTAAGAAAAATTTTCACCAAAACAAGTATGATACAATCGCGTATTATATTAACATATTATGTGAACGGATCATTTTTTTTCATAGGATACTCAGATTAAAAGAAGTTGGATTGTGGAATGCGTTAACATATCGTTGGTTGAATGAGGAACACCGATATTATGATAATCTCAAACAAGAAGCTGTTGGGATGGATCAAGTTTCTTTAATAATTTTAATAATGTGCTGTGGAATGATAATAGCTTTTATTATTTTTATAATCGAAAAAATTGCGTATGTTTATAAGTACAAGTCATCGTGAGACTACCTTTTTTGTTATATTATTACGAATATATTTTATAAAATATATAATTGCCAGCAGTTATTTAACTAGCAATCGGAACTCTATTATATTTATGTCACAAATACTATTATTACTAAGTCACATTCCTGTAATAATTAAACATGTAACAGAACTATTAAACAAATATAATTATTTATGAGTATCATTAAAATTTTAATTCCCTTATTGATTTTATTTATATAAATGTTCCTGAAAGCTCTCAAACGAAAAAAAGTTGTAAAAAAATGAAAAATATGTAGGACAATTATTTTAATACGATTTTAGAAAAAAATATATATAAATAATTACATTATGTGATCGCGAAAATTTTCTATAGGTCATGTAGGTTTGGTTGTGTCAGGGACATAATTCTCTGAGGTGCGTTCCAAAACTCGACTCTGTTAATTACCAGTATCTTTTATCCTTGTTCAATTCGATGAACAACAAGGATAAAATGATACTCAGATTGACTAAGTCGAGTATGGTGAAATTAGAGGCCTATTCTTTTTAGTTGACTTCTTGCACGGTTCATTTTTTTCTCTTCTTCCTTTCAACGTGGAGAAAAAAGGAAGAAAGATGAACCGTACAAGAACTTTAGCTGAAAAGAACAGACCTTAGGTCTTATAAGAATTATGAGGCGTCGATTTAAAATGAATTTTGAGAGATACACAATAGCGCGATTTTAAAATTCTGAGGCCAAATATGATTACAAATACACATGCATACGCATACAATCACACGCACACAGATACAAATTTTTATTGTATAAATTAAATGAATTACATTAATGTTTTTTTAAATTTATTCAGCAATTGACCAATAAAAATCAAAGATCATCGAAAAGAAGAGATTGATGTTTGTTGGTCAATTGCCGAATTAATTTAAAAAACATTAATGTAATTCATTTAATTTGTTCAATAAAAAATTTATTTAACGCGAAAAAAGTTGTTTTTGTACCTTTCTGCGTATGTGCGTGCACGCGCGTGTGTATGTGTGTTTGTGTATTCGTGTCATATTTGACCTCTGAATCTTAAAAATCGCGCTACTTAATTGTAGTTCTCAAAATTCTCAACTTTAAATTGACACTTTATTCTTGAAAGATCTAACTTTGCCAAATCGCTTGGAGAAACAATAAAAGACTATATCCTTAACACAATCAAATCCATGTGGTCTTTGGAAAATTTTAAAAATTGAAATCGGACAAACATATATATAGTGTAATTTTTTTATTGACAGACGAAATAATTAAGAAATCTGATTATGATTTGGATGCCACTGAGCTATTAAAAATTATTAGCAAATTAGATGAATGCGGTTATATTGCCTGATTCCATCAAAATGATTATGTATATGATACTAATCTTCGACAATATCGTGACGCTTCTCCATTATAAGTGATATCGATCCATTACAGAAAGTAAGTCGTATTTTGCGACGTGTGTATCTCATGAAAACTGCATTCTAATATATTCTTTTTTGTCTGTATCCTACATAGACCTATCAACGTGGAATTAGTTCAACTACACATATAGAAATTCGTAAACTATGGCTACGCGATTTGTTCTAATGGTCACGATTTTACAGCTTGCGATTTGGGACTGCTACGCCGTGAGTGGAATAATCTGGCATAAACAACAACAAGAATTTGTGCATTTGTTTAGCATCCCACAATTTGCCGCTCTTCAAAAAGAAAATTTAATTAAACGTCAAGCGGTTATAGAAAAGCTGAACATGAACGGAGAAGTGGTGAAAGCTGTGTATTACGAGGTGCGACGCGTGACTTTCTAAAGAGCTCAATGTTTTTTCTCAAAATCTTATAAACTTCTCAAAGAGTTTAAATGGCGAATTTTTGACAATTCATCATGTGTATCAATTTATTAAGCTTATAATAGAAAAGAAGTTATGTGGCCAGTGTAAGGTATAATGGCCTCTCTTATATAAATATCTCCGTTATTATAGATATAGGTGGCCAATTCTAATGATTACTTATGAAATTATTTGTTCAGAAACTTGCCGTTACATCATGACATTAATGTGCTAATTACACGTAACCAACATTTATTATAACGTATTTTTGTTTTCAAGTATTTTGAAACATTTTTAAGATATACATTTTAGCATTTACACATTCTTCCTCCTTCTGAAACTTATTGACACTTTGTATTATCACATAAATATATGTATGTTTGAATGTTTGTTATTTAACATTTTATTTGGCTGTATACATTTCGAGTTATGTGAAGTTAAACAATAGTATTTTGTTAATGTGACTCTCCGTAGTGCTGATTATTAATGACCTCTTTTTCGAGATTTTTATATCAAAATAAGTATATTCGATAAATCGATCGTAACTCTACTACGTTAATTCATAGTTTATGTTGCACAATGTATGTACTATAAATTTTTAATGTTTTTATTTTTTGGCTTAGAAATTAATTGAAAAATTCGAGTATCCGGGGATGCCCGCCGTCCGAGGCTACCCGAACTTCCCCTACAGGTTGTATTCCAAATCTTTTGGTACTGACAGTACTACTGTCAGTACTAAAAATCTATAGTGCACGTAACGTAAACTGTAGATTTCAGTACTGGGAGTAAATTTTGGAACATAGCCATACTATACATTTGCATACGTTTTGTTAATTTTGTAACCAAGTATTGTGTTTCTTTTTAATTAAAAAGATTTTAAAATTTATTTTTATGGAAGGCCATCCCCTTTTTTCTTTGAGTCGTTATGCAGTATGTCGCCACATTTTTATAAATAATGTTCTAAGTAATAATTTATTCATAACTTTAAATCTAGAATCGATTAAACAACACTATGACGAATGTATTATAATTGTTAAATTTTAAATTTAAATATTGATTAATCAAGGGTGCAATCCACTTTACGCTGCAAATGCTTTGAAGCATTCTTTGATTGATCAATTCGTAAAATTCTTTCTTCTGATTGATCAACAAAGCATTTGTAGAGTTAAGTAGATCGTAACCCCCCCCCCTCCCTCCTCCCCCCACACACAAAAGTTATAATATAAATAGGAATCCATAAACTACTTTCTTCTCTACTGTTATAACAAATAAATAATAATCCTGATAATTTCTTATGCTTATAGGAAATGAATATGGTAATGTTTAACGACAATGATACAACGATTAATGGTATTTTCGGCCAACTGTGGTACCTTCTTGAGGATTATCTCAATTTTACGTATGTTAAAAGTGACTATTTTCTTATGTTAACAGTGACTATCTTCTTTATGATATACATTTTAATATAATTGATAAAATTGTTTACATAGTGTACACATGTTTGGGGTATTTTATACTGTGCATTTGTTTATAATAATGCACACAATGGCATTTATTGACGTAACTCTAGCAAAAATAAAAATCAGATCGTAAAATGAATGCAAGGGGAGGATGGCAGAAGTATCAACAGAACTTTTATAAGGCAAAATTTGAAACAATAAAATGTAAAAGAAGCTTAAACATCTCTTTTATATTTTGTTGTCTTAATTTTCGCCTTCTGGAAGCTTCGTTTACACTTCTGTTATTCTCCCTTTACATGTGACTTATACATTCCAATTTTTACTTTTGCTATGAAAGTCGAAGTATTATGTTCCTCAGATTCATCCCAATACGAACAGCCGATCGAACTTTTGGTGAGTTGCTGGAAAATGGTAGTCATAACGGTTTGCTTGGCATGCTCGAGCGAAATGAAGCGCAAGTAATCATGAGAAGTACATTCTATTTAACTCGCATGAATGTAGTGGACTATATAATGCCTACTTGGAAAAGCACGTGAGCATATCCATCGAAATATATGCATAATATAAATAACAAATGAGAAATTATTCATCCATCGTCTTGTTTTCAGCAAAAATTAGAAACGATTCGGGAATCATTTCATTTGCAAGATACAGTTATTATTAATAAATTGATGTTTTTTAGGTACTATGTTTATGTTCATCCAAAATGGCTGTACGATAATACATGGGTATTTACGCTATTTTCATGGCAAACATGGTTGAATACAGTATTTTTGTTCATCATTTTAAGTTGCGTTGGTTATTTTCTGCAGAAAGTATCGATGAGCAAATCTAAACACAAAAGAGAAGGTTCCGTAGGTTTCAGCCTAGGCGATCATTTTTTCTATTCGTTCACCATAATGAGCGCACGAGGTGCATAATACAATTAAAAAAAAAAATTAAGCAAAAATTTGTGAAAACAATAATTAACAATTTGATGGTGTTCTATACAAAATAGAGTAAAAGAAGATTTTTCGTTCGAAATTAAGCATTTAACGATTGAAATTTGGATAAAATAAAATATCCTTTTTTTTATAGGCTACATACCCAACGCTTTTTATAACAAGTTCAAGATCTTAACATTGTCAAAGACTATATTTGCGTGGCTAATACTGTTAGCCTTTAGTTCTCATCTCATATATCGGATGACATATAGAGAGCAGATGCTGTCGTTTCAAGATGTAGAGTCTCTTTTTAACAATACAAAATACATCTTACTGGTATATCGCGGCAGCTTTCTCACCTCATTTTTAAATGTAAATATCGAAGATTATTTATATGCAGAAAAATCTCTTTTCTATTAGAAATATTAATCAGCTATTAAAAAAGTAGTATTTCATCGATTTATGTTTTGCACTAAAACAAAGTTTTCTTCCGTAATTTAAAAAAGCAGTTTAAAAATAAAGTAAAGAAAAAAATCATATTGAAAATACATTACTTTTAAGTGGCTTGTATAATTTATCTATGACAAATAATACAAACATATTTAAGTATAAATTTACTACTTATTATTTTTAGTTTACATATGGAAGCTTGGTTGATGAATATTCATCTGCGCGTATAAATATTATAGATATAGCAGAAGACATGTATTATCAAATTTGTTCTAACGTGACGAAATATGCATTATTTGATTGCGACGATCGATTTATGGCATTAAGCAGAAAGTGCCAACTTCGAGCCACGGGTAGAGCCAACGCGACCTGGATAACAATCGCATTTCAGAAGAATTACCGTTACAGAAAGAACTTCGATTACGCGTGAATATTGCATAAATTAACATTATACTGATTATTTTATTTAAGAAACTATTACTAACTATCTCAGAGATTACGTAATGGTCTGTCCTTTCCAGAATCATCAAATTCAGAGAAGTTGGACTGATTGATAATCTTAGAGATAATTGGTTTAATATCAGACTGGAGGATACAGACCAAGAAATATTCAACCCGATTGATTTCCACCAAGTCTATTTGATTTTTTTAATATTATATTGCGGGATCCTAATATCATTTGTGATACTCATTCTGGAAAACATAATGTACTATTACAAAATAAATAATATACGGCAATATAGACGCAGATAAGCACATTTTGAAAATACTTAAAAGAAAGATACGGTTAAAATTCAAATCTTATAGCTTTTTAAAAATTGTAATAACTTTTTCAGCAAATTTTCTTATGCCTCTTGCGAGAATTTATTCTATTTCTTTATTTATATCATTTATAATATATTAGGTGGTTCCATAAGTCCCTAGGGTCAAGTTTAGATAAAACATAAAAGATGTATCTAATTCTTTGGCTCATTTTTTTATAACATTGTCCAATTTGCATTTAGTATAGCTGTTAACATAAACTTATATTTTTAATTTCATTCTAAATGAAAATCGAAAAAGAGCATATATATTTAGTACTGTATATATTTCATTACTTTTATTAAAAATTATTTGTGAAATTTATTGTAAGAGTCTAAGATAAGAGCACACAATAAGTTTCGCAAATATGTAATTTTAGCAGTTTCGGCGACATTATCGCGATGAAAGTAATAATAAAGTATACAGTGTTGAATGTGTTTTTCTTCATCATCTTCATCACAAATTAAAAATATGTTTATATTAATAACTATGTGTGTGTGAACTATATTATATATGTGTGTGTGTGTGTGTGTGTGTGTAGGTTGGACAATATTATAAAATAATGGGTTAAAAGATTATAAGTTTGTATTTCAGTGTCATTTAAACTTGATCTTAGCAACTTATGGAATCACTTAATAATTTTTTATATTTACAATGTCTAACAATAAAAAAGTAGAGAAGAAGATGGTATGTTATAGTTCCTCCCTTTACATTTTATATAATAACTCTATCAATAACTACCCAGACAGCACAAAATATTTGTGATAAATATTTATTAAAATTCATTTTTTTAAACGCTATATAAATATTTCGTATATATTTTATATAAAGCTTTATTCGAAATATTATTAAAATATAGATTAAATATTTTATGTAATATTTATGATGAAAATATAAATAAATATTTCTAATAAATATTTTTTACTTGGGTTATAATGTCTCATTAAATATTTTCATAGCATTTACTATAACATTTACAATAAATATTTCATAATGTTTATAATAAACGTTTGTAATCTTTGCAATCTAAGACCACAAAAATATTTACAAAATACTTAGCCTTCAGTGGTCACTAGGGGTCCAGTGGACTCCAGGGTAGTTTCAAGTTAAAATATTTCTAAATATTCGATAAAAAGTGTATATGTCACGACATATACAATTTTTACCGAATACTTACAAGGGAAGTTTCACAACTGTCCGGAACCGATTTGATTCTCCATGAAATATGTTGTTAAACACGAAAATCTAAGAGAGAGACACGTATTTTTTATACGTGCGCTAACTCATGTATAAAAGATACGTGTCTCTTAAATTTTCGTGTTTAACAACATATTTCATGGAGAATCAAATCGGTTCCGGACAGTTACGAAACTTGCCTTATTAGAAATATTTTAACTTGAAACTACCCTGGGGTCCACTGGACCCCTAGTGACCACCGAAGGTTAAATATAAAGTGTTTTGTCAGAGTTAAATTGTAAATGAATGTTCACACGTGTGCGTGTGGTACAATAAGTCAACCTAACCTTTTCTTATGATATGAGCCAAAGTACCCCATCCCTATACAAATCTAATTTTGACCATTTTATTGTAATAAATTACTATTGTTACTCAAAATAACGTGTTGTATACTAACAAACATTTTTCTTTTAACTAATAATACATCACTTAGATTTGTTTCCTCAAGCCGTAGGACATTAATATGAAATTATGAAATGATCAAAAATTTACTTGTCTATTCTTGAATTAGATTTTTACTTTTTCTATTGTAATACTTGTTTAATTTAAATGAAACTTAGGGAGAAGTACCTACGCTATAAAAGAGATATTTTGCAGTAACTTTTCCATTGGTTTTTTTGCCACAGGTACATAAACGAAACGCAATGCCAACTTACCTTTTGTGTCCTGATGAAAACAAAAATCAGAGCACGGCTACTTTATGCTTTGATGAAATGTTTTGGTGTCATTATTAAACTAAATACAAGCGTCAAAATGATTAAAATTATTTTTACGTATGTATGTCGTGATTTTTTTATATGGCATGCCAACGAGACCCGGTCTCCCCTAATATATATATTATGTAAAATCGATATATAAAATCATTAGTTATATCTATGTATATAAAAAAATTACGACATATACGTAAAAATAATTTGAATCATTTTGATGCTTGTATTTAATTTAATAATAACACCAAAACATTCCATCAAAACATAAAATAGCCGTGCGACAGCATTATAACTTCATGATTAAAAATGATTAGTCACGGAAGAATTACATATACTTATATACATATATAAAATCCGATGTAGGATATTTCTTGCGTTTTAATAAAGCTAAAAAGAGTATTTTTTCATAGTAGTTTTATTGTATTTTATTGTTATTGTTTATTTCCACATTAAGTTTAGAACGGGACTGCTTATATGAATACATCAACTAACATAATAAGTTAAGAGAATTAAACGCCAATTATGGTCAAAGTTAGATATTGGAATAATATTTCTATATATGTATTTTAAATAGAATTCTTTGCTTATTTCACTTTTGTTAAGTTTAAAATATGTGATGGCATAATTACTTTTTCATGTATTGCTTACACTAAAAAAAAAATAAAAAATTTGTTAAAAATGGAAAGTAGTAATCTGAGGATGTAAGGCAAGATCTTATCTAAAGTAACATAATGGCATATGGCACACATCTTTTTTTTCTTCTAATCACAAAAATCAATCCGATCATGATAATAAGTTACTTCAGTTTTTTTTTAAATATTGATCGAAAATAATATGTTAACAGATTTGTAAAAGATACATAAAAATTTCAAATCGCGTTATTCACTAAGCAACAATCTTATAAATCTTTATAATGCATTACAACAGTGCGTCCATATAAGATGACCATTACTTCTAGTTGCATTATATAGAATTTTGCAATCGTGTACGACAATGAAGGGTGTGATTTGGAGCAAAACGCAAAAGACTTTTGTGCCAATTTCCAGCGTGCCGACTTATGCGATGATGCAACAAGAACGCTTCAGACAAAGTCGAGCACTCGAGATCCACAATTTTCAACTACAAAATTTTACTTTAACATCTTTTCAGGTATACTCTTATAAAATGTCAGATATGATTATCTTTTCTAAACATAAGTATTAAGAAACAAGATTTTAAAAAATCTTGTTTCTTAATACTTATGTAAAATAAAGATTAGATAGTTGATATAATCAATTAATAACAAATAGTATTTTTAGTTTTAATTAGGATTTCTTTCTTAAGAATTACAAATATGGTATAAATAATAGCATAAAGAATATTTATTTTCACACATTAGAATATGTACGACACTTTTTTATGTTGGCAATGAATGTTATACTTACTAAATAACGGCATATTAACAAATATTATAATTATAAATTGACGAGTTGTATAACTTAATTCGTTGATTGTACATTTCAGGAGCCGCATTTTCTTCACTTTTACAATAATAATACGAAAGTTACGGGACTTTGTGGAGAAATATGGAATCTACTTTCGGAATCGTTGAACTTTACGTAAGACCGCACATATATCTCACATTGCGAAAATAGATTATTGTGTTCTAACATTTTATATTAATAACAAAATAAATTAATAGATATTTCATATTTTTAGATTACAGCCAGTGAAAGCAAATGTAAATAGTTTAGGTATGCCAGAAAAAGACAGATCTTTTAAAAACGGATTATTAGGTATTATTTTTTGCAATGAAACTATGGCAATACCGAAGTTAGAAACATTTACGTCGCGACTTGTGGCTACCGAATTTTCAGTACCTTTTTGGACAAATAGGTTAGTTTAATTTATTAAATTTTTTAAATGTTTATTTGATTTAACATTTATTTAAACCTTAGTGGAATAATTTAATAATAATTACGTTACAAGGTAAAGTATCTGCGTCATAATTAAAAAATATTTCTTAGAATTCAATTATATATTCACCCCGAAGTGGTATATGATGATGAATGGATGATAAAAATTTTCTCTTGGAAAATATGGTGCACTATACTGATTATGTGTATATTACTGAGTCTATGCACCTTTTTGACACAAAGTATTCTCATACAAAAAAAAAATAAACGTAAAAACGTGTCTTTCAGCGAACACATATTTTATAACTTTGGAAATCTCTGCAATCAAGGTACTTACGTATTAGCAAATAATTAATTCGAGCGTTGTTCAACAGATTATATATAGTAAATAAAAAAAATTTATAAATAATTATGTTCAACCAAATTAAAACGTAATTTTATCATATTAAGAATAATAAAAATTATTAATTTGAATTATTGCAATATTCTGTAGGCTACATTCCTGAGTATCTCAATGGAAAGTCGAGAATATTAGAAGTATCGTTGGGATTATTTTGTTCTATGATATGCACGTCATTTGGTGCTGTGTTATTTATATTTTTATCGAAAAGTGGTTTTGTACCACCATTTGATAAATTTGAATCTTTGGTGTATAATACTAAGTTCAGCGTTGTTACTTTGAAAGATTCAATAGGAGAGATCTTGTTTAAGGTACATATACTATCAATTATATATTCCATTGATATATTATATAATAGTTTTAGTATAACTTTTTGTGTATAAAACTTAAATGTTTGAATGCTTGATATTTAAATGTTATAGATACTTACGACAGATTCAATAGTACGAGCAAAAAAGTCAAATCGCTTAATCGTAGTATCAACAATTCAGGAAATGCATGAAAAGATATGCTCCTTGCCAAAAAAATATGCCATGTTTCAAAACGAAGAAACACATAAAGTGAATGGCGAGATTAAATGTCATTTGATTAACATTGGAGAAGAATTTACTAGATCATGGGTAACTTCCGGCATCGTAAGGAATTTTAAATACAAAAGAACCATCGATGTTGGGTAAAAAAGCATCTGTATAAAATAAAATAATGTAGATGGATTCTTTTAAAAATTTATATTTTGGAAATCGGCATTATACAAACACTCTTTAACCAAAATTTAATTTGAATATATAAAACTTCTACCAAAATTTTATTATTTAATTTATTGGGGATTGGAATATCTTTATAATTAAAACAAAGATTGTTTGAAGAGAAGAAAATTTTATATATTTTTATTATCAATCTTATTAAAATTGCAGTTCCAATTTTTTAAATTCTAAATATGTTGATAATTCTAGAATAATTTGTAGAGAAAAGTAAAAAGTTAATAAAAATTACTTATTCATTAAATAATATTAAAAAAATTTGATTATTATTAACAAATTATCACGATTCCTAAAATTTTTAATAGTAGTAATATTCGATATTTATACTTTTATAAACAATTGAGATATACATATATTTACTTAATGGCAGAGTTAATTTGTATAACAACAAATCTAATCTTAGGCTATGATATATAATTTTATTTATTAATAAATAATTTTTATAAATAGGATACTTAAATTAATAGAAGTTGGATTATTGAGTGCGTTGAAAGATCGTTGGATGGAAAATAAATTTAAACAGTGTGAAGACGACCAAAAACTGAAACCAATTGAATTACATCAAGTTTCTTTAATAATTGCGATGATGTGCTGTGGAGCGATTATGGCACTTGTTATTTTTATAATCGAAAAAATTGTATTTACTTATAAAGTAAAGCAATTTTGACTATTTTTACTTATATTACACTACTTATACGCATATATTTTACAAGTTTATTTGTAAGTAGTAATTTAATTAGTATTAGATAATTGTTAAATTATCTTGTAATTGTAATAATAATCTATTTTTTTAATAATTACACACACAGAAAATTTTGAGAAAGAATGCATTTTTGTGAGAATACTAATTCAAGTTTTGTTGGAATATAAGTAAAAATATAAATGCACTTTGAATTATTACATAAATTGTAACATATTTTATATATCCTCTAATATCATAACAAAAACTATTTAAAATAGTTTACATATATATTGTGAATTTACAAAGATTATACTCTTACTGCATGTTTTGGCATATCTTGAGTATTAAAGTTAGTCGGTGAATATCTATTGGGACGTGTGTACAGAACGTTTTACAAAAATTGTGAAGAACATGCACAACAAAATTTGCATGAAAAAATGCGAGTTATTTGAAACCGAAGATCAAGTTATTGAACAGAAATAGCTGTTTGCTTCGAGCCACGGGCAATTATAATAAATCTTATGTAACGTTCGTAGTTCAGAAGAACTACTGCGCTATACGAAGACCAACGAATTCCACGCCAGTATTGCATAAATTAACATTACTCATTTATTATTTGAGAAACTATTGAATACTAACCCCTATCTCAAAGATTACTTAATAGCATAATCCGGTCCCTCTCGCCAGATTCATATTTAGAAAAGTTGGATGTTGGTGAACTTACTTAGTAATTATTAATTTATTGTTAATAGAGTAAAAAAACACAGACCGAAGAATATACAAAATAATTGATCAAATCTATCTGATTTTTCTAATTATGAAGTGATAATTGTGATGTATGGCAATATATAGTTTTACGACCGAGTATTAAAATATTAAGAGACATTAAAATATAAAGAGATTATCACATATTTTATATATATATATATGCATGATAATCTTTTATAATATTTAAGCATTTATAATATTTAAGCATTATAGTATAAAATCAAAATGTAAAAAAATAATCGCAGTTTTATATATATACGTATAAATCAATCACGATTTACGTAAAATTGATTTTAATCGTTTCAATGCCAGCATTAGTTCAATAACGATATCAAAACATGCCATCAAAGCATAAAGTGATCATGCGATGCCATTTCGCATTATAACAATAATGATTGAAATTGATTAAAGTCACGACTGAATTACATAAACGCTATATGTATAAAATCTAATACGAGAATCTCTTGTGATTTAATAATGCTAAAAGCAAAAATGTATTAAAGCTGCACACTTTTAGGATGGTTTTATTTTACTATTATTATTTATTTTATTTTTGTTTATAAATTTAAAACAGTGCTGGAATTTATTTGCAATTTTGAGCCGATTTTTAGTTCGGTTCCCATCCCTTACCTCACCAACCCGCGCGCAATCTAAATGCCGATTGGTATTGATGAGGTAAGGGGCAGGAACCAAACTGAAATTTGCGAGTAAATTCCAGCACTAATTTAAAATATACTCAGCATAATTATTTGTTGGGTATTTGTCTGTACTTGATAAAATAGAAAATAAATATATAAATAGAAAGCAATAATCTGAGAATATAACATAAGATCTTATCTAAAGTAATATGACACACATTTTATCACTTAATTATAGAAACCAATCCAATCACGATAAGCTATTTCTGTTTTGCTTTCAGTATAAATTATTAATAAAAATTTTGAATCACGCCATTCACTAAGTAATAATTTTATTACTCTATGTAAGGCATTAAACAGTACATCTATATAGGATAATTCCGGTATATATGTCGCGCCGGAATTTATGCCGCAGAAGTCGGAAAAAATAGGAGTGAAAGTAATTTTCCCACAACTGCTTCGTTACATGTCTTTATGTTATATTAGTATTGTGTTATGATTTCAGTTTTTTACTGTTAATATTAACGAAATTATTGAATTGAATCGATTTGTCACTGTAATAATAGCGCCATCATAAATTATAATCTACATAAAATGATTACTGTAGGGCGCATAAAAGACTTAGTGGTTATTTCGTGATACATAAGTGTAGAGGAATAGTAAAACATATTGTATAGCAAAATACAAGTGCTTTGCTCTTGTATTTTTTGTTTAATTTGTTGTCATATATATCCTACCTGTTTAGGATATACGGATTTTTAATGGGCGGGATTTATGCCCTGCAAAGCATACAAAGTGCGCAAACTGGATTCAGTGCATTAAATGCAATGAACGCATTACATGAAATATGTATCTCATGTAATAACACTTGTAATTGTATATAGGAAAATTGTAATTATTATCTGTTACTTAATATTTATCACCCTTCTTCCTTAATAAAACTTTGTAAACATATTTTATAAGTTATTGTATCATTTTACGTCTTATTTATAATTTCTTATATATTATTTGTAAATTTTTCATACCCTCTCTCCCCTAATTGCATATCCGTCCCCTCCCCCCCCCCCCCTACGGGATTTACGGCAAAAATGCAAAGGTTTCAAAAAGTTCTTTTTTTTTACGAAAAATAAGTATATTTCGGATTTCTAATATTTTTTTCATAGTAGTAGACAGTATAAAGAACTGATATAGTTCGTTTACCTTAAAAATAGTAAATAATACTTAATAAATTAAATTTTTGTTAGGTGCGGTGTATATACCGGAGTTATCCTAAGTTGACTGTTACTTATTTTGGCTACATTATAATTTCGTCATCGTTTAAGACAATGAATGGTGTGATTTGGAATAAGACTCAAAAGACTTTTGTGCCAATTTCTAACGTGCCCATGTATGCCATGATGCAAAAAGAACGTCTCAGACAGAGTCGAGCACTCGAACTTCACAATTTTCAATTACAAAACTTGACATTAGCATCTTTTCAGGTATGTTTTGAAAATATCTGATATAATTATTCTTTCTAAGTAAGTATTAAGAAATGAGATTAAAGAAATTTATGAAAAAAAATATTCAGTATCATATTCAAATATGAACAGTTGATATAAACAATTAATAAAAAAGTTATAGTATTTTTATTTTTAACTAGAATTTCTCTCTCTCTCTCCCTCAAAGATTATAAATATATGGTCCCTGATGAAAATAAAAATCGGAGTGTAAGTCAATGTAAGACTATGTTCAGATTCCCACCCAAATGCAACCTAAGTGTCATTTTATTCTTGTTATTCGTCGAATATTAAACAAGGATAACTTGATATCTGGGGAGCACTCGAGTGGAAATCTGAATACGCCCTAAGAGGAGAGTAACAATGCGTAAACAAAGCTTCTAGAAGGCGAAAATTGAAATAACGAAACATAAAAGAAACGTCTCTTTTTATATTCTGTTGTTTCAATTTTCGCTTCATAAGTTTAGTTTACGCTTTTGTTATTCTCCCCTTACGTTAGACTTATGCTCCGATTATTTTTATTTTCGCCAGAAGTAATAATATAAATATAAATAATGATGCTATGAAGAATATCTATTTTCATATTTGAAAATAAATATTATTTGTTAAATAACGATAACAAGAATTATAAATTAATGAATAATATAACTTTATTAATTATACATTTTAGGAGCAGTACTTGGTTCATTTTTACGACAATAATATGAAGATTACAGGATTCTGTGGAGAAATATGGAATTTACTTTCCGAATCGCTGAATTTTACGTAAGAATGCATCACGTATCACACCGCAAGAACAGAATGTTGCATTGTGAGATTAAATTTTAACATAATTAATAATATAAAGTAAAAATATCTCATATTTTTAGACTACAGCTAGTGAAAGCAAACTTAGATGATCAGGGCATGCCACAAAAAGATGCCTTGTCTTTTAAAAACGGATTATTATCTATTATTTTTCGCAATGAAACTATTGCAATAGCAAAACTTCAAAGCTTTTCACCGGAACTTACGGTTACCGAATTTTCAATACCTTTTTGGACAAATAGGTCAGGTCTTAATTTGTTAAACTTCTTAAGTGTTTATCTAATTTAACATTTATTCAAACTGCAGTGTGTGGTAGTTATTAATAACAATTAAATTATACGATTGATAAGATAATTGTCATAATTTAAAAATAATTTTGTAGAATTCAATTATATATTCACCGTGAAACGATATATGATAATATATGGATGGTAAACATTTTCTCTTGGAAAATATGGTGCGTTATATTGAGTATGTGTTTATTACTGAGTCTATGCACCTTTTTGACACAAAGTATTCTCATACAGAATAAAGATAAACGTAAAAACATATCTCTCAGCGAACACTTATTTTATAACTTTGGAAACTTGTGCAATCAAGGTGTGTGTGAATAAATAACTGATGAAAATATTGTTCATTTTTGTTAGAAATAGCTTTACATTGAGATAAATCTAAATATCGCGTTAAAATAAAATTGCAATTATTTGATATATTAAAAAATTTGATTTTTAAAGTTAAAAGTAGCATAATTTGGAAATTAGTTCTTCAATACTTTATGATCATTTTTAAATTTTAAAGTATGTAAAAAATATAAATTACAATATTTAGATAATAAATATTAAAGACTATTGAAACATAATATAAAACACAATTATATAAAAATTATATCCATAATAATGAAAAGTTATGATTAAGTCAAAAGTCATTAATTTGGATAATTGTAACAGGCTATATTCCTCTGTATCTTGATGGGAAATCGAGAATATTAGAAGTATCATTAGGATTGTTTTGTTCTATAATATACATGTCATTTGGTGCTGTGTTATTTATACATCTATCTAAAAGTGTTTTCGTGCCACCATTTGATAGTTTTACTACCTTGGTGACTAATACTAAATACAACGTTATTGGTCTGAAGGGTTCAACCGCAGAAGCTATATTTAAGGTACATTTACTGAAACCATAATTTACTATTCCTTAGATAAAAGATGTATAAAACTGTATAAAAATTAGAGAATGATGTTCAAAACATAATTCAAGAAGAAATTATAATTTTTGTAAAAAAAACATAATTTATGTAGAAATTCTTTATACATTTATGGTTTTTTGTATATAAAACTTAAATGCTTCCCATACAGCACAAAAGTTACAGCAACAATGCTGCAACATTGCAGCAATATTGCATGTTGCAGCAAAATTGCAGCCTTATTGCAACGATATTGCTGCACGTTCTGTGCTGTATGGGTTGTAAAAAATGGTTGATTGAATGTTATAGATTAATGAGGATCCATTTTTACAAGCAAAAAAGACGGAACGTTTGAAATTAACATCAACGTTTGAGGATATGCATAAAATAGCATGTTTTTCCAAAAAAGAGAAATACGTCATATTTCAAACCGAAGCAATGTATAAAGTGACTGGGAATATTATGTGTCATTTGACTAACGTTGGAGAACCTTACGCGAAAACATGGATCGCTTCCGGTATCGTGAAGAATTTTAAATACAAAAGAAGTATTGATCTTGGGTAAACAATATATGTGTGCAGAATAATATATTCTAGATATAAAAAGTATTGATTTTTTAGAAATCAACACAGCATATTATACAAACATATTATACAAAATCTTCAATCAATTTAATCTATACTCTTTTAATTCTTTGAAGTGAAGTCTCACACGATATAAAAAATAAAAATTGAGCAGTCTTGAAAAAGAGTGATTCAATCTTTAATCTTTAAGAATGAGATTTTATTGAAGGAGTGAAAATCATTTTAAAAGTTTCAGAGAGAGAGAGAGAGAGAGAGAGAGAGAGTATACAATATGTAATATTTCTACAAAATTTTTATTTTGTAGAAATATTACATATTGTATAATTACATGGAATATCTCTATAATTAAGATAAAAACCGTTTAAATAAAGAAAAATTTCTACACATTTTTAATGTTATTATAAAAAATGGATTTCAATTTTCAAAAATTCCAAAAATGTTGACAGTTCTAAATTAATTTTCCAACAAGAAAAGAAATACATATAAAAAAATAACTTAGTTATAATTAAAAAGAGTTGATTAGAGAACAAATGATGTTATTAGTTTATTACGATTTCCAAAATTTTTGCTAGAAAAGAACACTCAATATTTATATCTTTTTATAAACAGTTGATATTATATTTAATCATCGATGATACGAGTTCTTTGTGTAGTAGTAAGTCTGATCTAAATTTTGATAATTTCATGTATTAATAAATAATTTTCATAAATAGGATACTGAAATTAATGGAAATTGGACTATTAAACGTGTTAAAAAAACGTTGGTTGGAAAATGACTTAAAATATTACGCTGAAGATGAGACACCGAAACCAATTGAATTACATCAAGTTTCTTTAATAATTGCGGTGATGTGCTGTGGGACGATTATAGCTCTCATTATTTTCATAATCGAAAAAATTGTATTTGCTTATAAATTAAGATAATTATGAATATTTTTCCTTATAATCTACTAATCTAAATATATTTTGAGTTTACTTGCAAGTAGTAATTTAATTAGTATTAGAAAATTGTTAAATTATTTTGTAATTATAATATAGTTGTAATTGTATAATAACGATGCTCTTATTAATAATCAAACATAAAACTTTAGGAAAGCATATACTTTTGTGACAATATTAATCCAAATTTTGTTGGAATATAAATGCACTTTAAATTATTATATGAATTGCAATATATTTTGTATCCTAACATCATACAATATAATATAAACACTACTTAAAACAGTTTACATATATATTGCGAATTCACGAAGGTTGTGCGCTTGTTGCATCCTTTGGTGTGTCTTCTGTTAATGTAGCTTCTACAGGATGTGGTTCGGTTGGAACGGGATCATGTTCTTCTTTCGGCAGAACATATGTGCCTTCTGCTATGTCTGTCGGAGTCATCCAAGATGGTATAATCTTATCGTGAATTCGCCATACACCGTACTCATTAGCTAAATGCTTTTCGAATACTATGTATTCTAATACGTCTTTCCTCAGAATTTCGCTTCCTTGTATAAGACGGCCAAATCTATCATAAATTGCTAAAACCTATAAATGAAGAAATTTTCACTTAAAAATTGTTTAAATTGTAAAAAGAGAATAAATTATAAAGGATATTATTGAACCTGTTGCGTGTGAAACCGAACAGTAAATTGTGCAAAAATGTTTTCTTTTGTTATTACGTCTGTAGTCCTCGCGTGCACGAGGCGAGCTGGTTCCAAAGACTCTAAAAATTTCCAGTGTATGGTTTTGTTCATCATGTTGTGTGTTATTTTCTAAAAATATAAAAGAAAAGTATTGCAATATACATTATTATATATAGTAATAAATGTAATATATAATATTTTAAATTAGCAAGAGAGAACACGAAATATATTTTTAACTTACAGGATATGCCATTTCTGTAACATATTTTATTATTTCCTCTTCATTTTTGCTACAATTAAAAATTGTTTTATTTAGTAACATTGCTACGAACAGGAAGAAAAAACGCTGTATTTATTAATTGCTAATAATTCCTTTAATGTATATATACGTTTGCACAATTATAAAAAAACATTATATATATTTGAAATTTTTTTCTTACCTAGCTAGAGCTTCATGTGCCTTTTTATATATATCTAAGGCTTCTTCTAAAAAAAATGATGTCTTGAAGGAATCATCAAATGACTTAACTTTTCTGATAGCCATAAAAGATTTGCTCTTTTTTTCAAAAAACGTGAATTTTTGCTTTGCTCCCTATATTTCAATAATAAAATAAATAATTGCAATACACACACTCATATTTCTCTTTTAATTAAAATAAAATATCATTGTATATTTTATATTTTTTATTTAAAAGTTACAATAGAAAGTAATAGTAAAGAGCCTGTACTTCTTTGGTAATAGCAGAATATTTTCCATCTCCTTCTGGAGCAACATAAGATTCAAAAATTGATAAAGTACTGTTGATATATGTTGCTCTTTCTTTCCAAGGTTTCTGTGGTAGAAAACCATGCTCTTTCATACGTGATCGTACTTGCTCCTTGTCCATTTTAGTAATATCATCATTGTCAGTGTCTTCCCACGAAGGAAGTTTTATTTTAATAACTTTTTGTCTTCTTTCCTTCTTATATTTTGGATTCCAGTGCTTAGCTATATGTGTTACTTGTATAGAATTATTAGGATAATTAATAGCAGCAACTAATACTGGTAGATTATTCTGAAATAAATGTCCATTTGTTTAGATATGTTTCTACATTTGGATAAATAGTTTTCTGACTATATACAATCCGATAGTATATGTTTCTTTTATTTGTTAAATTTAAGGTATTCCTATTTATTTCTAATTATAAGCTAAATTTTGAATTTAAGGTAAATGGAGTAAAACAATTTGAAAGAGATTGTTTTATAATTTGTTTTATGGAAGATTGTGTCAATCTAAAAAATTTAGTGTAAATCAACAAATTTGTAATTAAATAAGAAGAATAAAATATGTTGTACATATAAAATATGTTGTATACAATATACAGCATATTGTATATTTAGCTTTCAAAAAATAGAGTTGTATTAAGAACATACCCGTAAAAATTTTCTGTAAATAAACACCGGGCTGGTGTATCTTAATAACATTTTCAGAAATTTTACTGCTTGAGAACTGTCAGAAGAAAAAAAATTATTCGAATTATTGTGTATCTATCAATATTTTCAATCAATTTCGTATTTATATTTCATATCACGTTTTCGTTATAATTACGTCAAGTCGTGATAATCACTGGCCGTTATAGGTTATGTTCAAATTAGGGCCTGCGCACAATAGAACAAATATCAGGAACAGGAAATATTAAATATTAAGATTTCAACCTATCAAATACCAGTTACACTAGAATACATGGTTTCTGATAGGTTGAAATCTCTATATTTATTCCTATTCCTAATATTTCCTCCATTGTGCGCAGAGCCTTAGGGTGAAATCACACGGTGCTAGAGAATGCGTCATTGGCTGCGTTCAGCAGAACGTTTGTTTTGCAACTGTTGGAAGTTTCCTTCGCGCTAATTGGATCATACTTTTAGATCTAGAAGAATGGTCCTATCTCATCAGACAATCATAAAACAGTTGCAAAACTGTTAAGTCTGCTGAACGCAGCCATTGAAGCAACGAATCAGCACTATTCCGAATAGCGCTGAATAGCGCTGATTGGTTGCTTCAATGACGTATTCTCCATTCCGCAGTCTTTTTCCGCATCGTGTGATTTCACCGTTAGGGTTGGTTTATAATAGGCCGTAATCTGTTAACTTTTTCCATAATCTATAAGAATTGACCTATCATAGTCGATTATTGTCCTCTCACTCGACTGTGATTGGTCAATTCTTACAGATTACGGAAAAAGTTGACAGATTACGGCCTATTATAAACCAACCCTTAGGTTTATTTTTAATATCGATATTTTTCAGTCCGCTATCCGATATTTTGAGTTGATACTTTCCTCTCGATAATATCGACATATCGATATATACAAATGACCCCATCGAAATGAATGGACTATCGATGGCGGTGGTGGGGGTAGAAACACGAGTAGAGTGAGAGGCAAATAAATGGATGAACGTTCTTTCTCTGTTTACTAAGGCCCAGTTCCACAACTCACGGTTAACTCTTAGCCGAGGTTCAACTTGTTTCTTATTTCTTTCCAATTCTAGAATTGGAAAGGGATGAGAAACAAGTTGAACTGGGATTAAAGTCTTAAACACAATAGGCACAGGCAACAGGGAATAACGAGCCGTCCAATCACAGCTGTAGGATATAATATCGAACTTAAACTCCAGAGTTCTGATTGGACGGCTCGTTATTCCTGTTGCCTGTGTCTATTGTGTTTCCAGCTTAAAGCCCAAGACACAATGCGAGGGAATAGCGATAGCGATAAGAATAACATGATTTCAACCTATTAGAAATCGGATATATCGGAATTCACAGTTTCTGATAGGTTGAAATCGTGTTATTCCTATCGTTATCGCTATTCCCTCGCATTGTGTTTTGGGCTTAAGCCTGATTGATCTATAATCTCGTCGATGCTCTATAAACAGTCCTATAGTTTCGTCGGTGCCCTCGTGGATGCCAAATTTCACTAGCATATGTCTTATAGTACAGTATGTACTTCTAGAGCTCAACTATACCATGATCGTTACATTCGGTACTGTTCAGTACTGTTCAAGTGTTTAGTGCATCGATGACTGATGGCATGAGGATTATGCATGAACATCGACTTGTGTATATGTGAATTCTGAGTTTGATATTCTTACGGTTTTTATAACGATATTATAAATGACGTGATTTTCTATAGCACAAGAAAAAGAAATTCGAATTATTTTAACGTGAGAATTATTTATAAGATAGGAATTAAGGTACCGCAAATGTTGTACAGGACAATTTACAACCTCTCAAGTAAATCCGTAAATTGTTGGATAAAGATTCAGTTAGGTATACAAAGTATATAATATTACATATTAGTGATAATATGTTAACAGATTAATTAATTTTTACATGAAACAAATTCGTATAAACGTATGAAAAGTTTGAAGAAATTATATATGCAGCGTTTAAAATGTCTTTATTATAACTTGTTCTTTTTGTTAAGTTTAAACTGAGTTCTTTTCAAGTCTAATTTAACTTGATGTTACTTAATGTCCATGTAAGTTTGAATACTGTTTAATACTCGTGTAAATTTGTTTCAGAAAACATTTATCGCAGAACTAGTTCAGTTACAATGCACCCCACAACTGATTCGGAAGTAAATACTGATGATATAAATACTATGCATGGAACTAAGAGATCTATAGATGATGGCAGTGAAAATGAAACCAAGGTGCAAAAGACAGAAGAGGAAACAGTACAAGTGACAAAAGTACAAGCAACAGAAATGGAAACGATACAAAGAATCAAGAGAAAAAATCATGCTATGTTACTAGGCTATGTTGGCAAAGACTATTATGGTATGCAAAGAAATCCTGGTATGAAAACTATTGAGGAAGATTTAATTACTGCCATACTAAAGGCAGACTTGATAACTAAAGAACAATTTGAGAATATACGTGCGATTAATTTTCAAAGGGCTGCACGTACGGACAAAGGAGTGTCAGCAATTAGGCAAATTGTTTCACTGAAATTACGTAAGATAAATATTTTAAATCTTAATCTTTTTTATACATATCTTTTTTAAGAATTATTATTTAAGAGTAATTTTGAATTATATTAATTATAATATGCTTATATTAATTTTACAGTGCTATTTTTATTTAAGTTATTAATGGTTGCATTCAACAAAAAAAAGCAGCTTTATAACTGTTGCAAGATTTTTTAATATGATTGATTTATACATTCAGATCTAGTGTGGAACTAAGAGCAAGAACCATATTAATAATCATACTAAAGAATCATGCAACAGTTGCAAAGCTACTTTTTCTGTTGAACACAGTCTTTATTAATAAAAGGCAAATTTTTTAAGCTTAAAAGTAACAAAGAAAATAAACTTTATTTAAACTATGTTATATGAATATTAAATTATAAATTATATCTATTAAATTACTATTAAATTATAAATATCAAACTTTCTTTACAGCGGAGAACAGTGATAAAACAGTAATAAATCAGTTCTTACCTGATGTCATCAGAGTATTTGGAATAAAACGTGTGACAAAAGGTTTCAACAGCAAAAATCAATGTGATGCACGTACTTATAGATATATCATTCCTTCCTATGCATTTGCATTAGAAGATCAAAGTTTGCTAAAACTTGGAGAGGAAGTTGACGAAGATGAAAGAATCAAACAGTTATCAATTATTGATGGAAAGTCATACATTCATTATAGATTATCTCCAGAATCTTTAGATAGATTAAATTCGATTTTGAAACTTTTTGAAGGTTCTCACAACTTTCATAACTTCACGTCAAAAGTGTAAGTCGATATCAATTCAAAAGAACATAGTTATTCATTTAGATACTTAAAACTGAAGCAAATTTTGTTTAATTCAGAAAACCATTGGATCCACGCGCGCGACGCTATATAATTAGTTTCTGCTGTACGAAAACATTCGTTTTAAATGATATAGAATTAGCGGTATTGGAAATTAAAGGACAAAGCTTTATGTTGCATCAAATCCGAAAAATGGTCGCAATTGTAGTTGCGATTGTAAGGAACATGATATCCAAAGAGACAATCGATGAAGCATTCAAGACAATGGACAAGATGGACTTACCACTTGCACCTAGTTTAGGATTATGTCTGTGTCATGTAAGAAAATTTGATAGCACATATTTTATTGATATGTGAAATTATTTTAGTATTTATTATTAATCTATTAATATAATCTATTGTGAGATTAATATTAAGTTTCCTAAAGACGAATTATTCAAAGACTAAATATATCAACAGGTGCATTATGATAATTATGGTAAAAGATATGGCACAGACGGACTCCATGAAACATTAGATTGGAAGGAGTGTGAAGAAGAAGTAGAAAAGTTTCAGAAAACATATATTTTGCAACACATGATAGACACCGAAATTTCAGAACAAACGTATCCTTTTTGAACATACTTTATATAAAATATATAAATTTTTCTTCCTCTATTTGAATATATATACCTTAACTTAATATTATATAGAACCTTAAAATGGCTGGTAGGCCTCCCTTTTTATTCTTTTAGTAACAAAGATGTGCTACCTGTGGAGAATGATAAAAAACAAGAAGCCATGCATAATAATGTTTAGGTGTAAAATACATAGTTCTGTCTTTGTATCAAATGCACTAAGAAACATTAAAGAAAGTTTTTAAATTATCTTTAAGATTTCCTACTTACACGATTAATTATAAGTTTCCAGTTATAGTTATAAAGTTCCCTCTTGTAAAACCAAAAGCAGTAATGATGTCAGAATTCTAATCAAACATTCTAGTAAAAATGTGTATTATCCCTATCTTGCAAAGTTCTTTGAACCGAATTGAAAACATGTACGTCATCATGCCATCTGGCCCCCCTCTCGATTTGTTAATTTAGATTAATTTGCAGCATACAACAAATCGAGCATGTACTTTCCCTGTTTATGTACTTCCCACTACACGCGCCAAGATGACGCTTTGCTTGCGTTGGGTAATTCCAATCTCGTGGCACACAGTGTAGATGATTGCAGTGAGAGGTTGAACGCCGAGATATAAAGAAGCACAAACTGCAATTACTGACGTTTTGCCTTACCATGCAGATTTTTCAATGGATATCCACACTAATAGTTGTTTACGGTAAGAAAAAAACATATGACGCCAACTTGTTTTCGTGATATAAATAAGAACTATCACGGTATTGTTAAAAAGTAATTGTAAAGCTGCAACTTTATAAAAAAATTTTTCTACTATAACTTTCCTTCTCGAAGATTTTTTATTTATATTTTTATTAATTGGATAATGTGTAACAGAATTTTAAAGATACAATACATTCTATTATTCTTTTGAATCATTTACTGATGAAATAGCATTGATAAATATTCATGAAAATATTTATAAATGCAATTATTTTAATTGATGCTATTATCATGTTATTACCTCGTGTTCTGACATAACATTTGTTTCGATTTATTTTGGATCCATATATTTCTACACATTTCACAGTATCGAAATTACGTCAAATAACATTATATATATCATTATATATAACATACATTTTAGAAAAATGTCAAATAATACATTTTGAAGTTTTAATTTACTTAACTGACAAAATTCTATTTAGTTTGCATATTTTAATCTTGATTAAATGATCAATCAATTAATAATTTATAAATAATAGAAAATATTTTTGTTAGTAAAATTTGTTTTATCTATTTGCATTTGTTAGAAGAAATTTCGTATTATATATTAATTAATATTTCGTAGTAATTATATATTCGCACATTCCAAGAAATTTCTGAAGTAGTCTTAACCAGTTTCAGAAACCAGTTTAGTGACCTTGAACCTCAGTGTAGAAGAATATCTTGCATACATGTTTACTTATATTGGTAGATAATAAGCGAAGATGATACACGAATACATAACGCATATCTCTCCCACATTTATTAAAGTTTATTGAAGTTTTTCTTATATTATGCTAGCCAATATGGTCAATCAATCAATAATTGGTTTCTCTATCATAAAAAATACGAGCATCAAACACAGAATTCTTCTACGTATATTATTGAAAAAATTTAATTATATAATTAAAATAATTTAATAAATAATTCCAACTTACATGTATAATTGTCCAACACATAAAATAATAGAAGATCGATTTTTATGAGCAAAATTATTTTTTGGATTTTCTAGTGTGCATTGGTTCTGGATATGCACAAACTTATGATTGTGAGTAAGTATTTAAATATCAAAGTAATGTAATGTTTAATAATTTTAAATTTAAACAAATAAGTATTAGCTAATATACTTGTTCGAACAGATCAGACAGATTTCGATGCTACAATGGAGACTGTATAGCTGGTGACTTATTGTGCGACGGCACACCACACTGCAGGGATTCGTCTGACGAGACAGAGGCCGAGTGTACAAAACCAGAGATTCTGTGTCATAGGTATGCCTTTCGTTGCAACTATGGTGCTTGTGTAAATGGAGATTCCGTATGTAATGGCGTCCAAGATTGCATTGATAACAGCGACGAAACGCAGCCTCAGTGCGTAAAAAACACAACAAACAATCAAACAGAAAGACCTACAAGCAGACCTAATAGATGTACCACAAATCAAATTACATGCGATAATGGCGAGTGTATTCATAAGGACAATATGTGTAATGGAATTCGAGATTGTGCGGATGGCTCTGACGAAACTTCTGAAAAATGCAGATCAATATAGTGAGATCTTTTATAAATGCTGAAAATGATTAAACGATCATGAGAAACGTTTTATAACTGTTAATCTGTTTGCAGTTGTCCTCCGACAGCTTTCCGTTGTTCTTACGGAGCTTGTATCAATGGTGATCTACGATGTAACGGAGTAGTTGAATGCGTCGATGGATCAGACGAGGATTCGAGATGCAGCGAAACTGGGTGGCCATCACCTTTACCGACGATACGACCAACAACGGAAACAACACGATGGCCTGTACCGACTCCAACACCAACACGTGGCACAAACACTTGTAGAGCACCTCCGCAACCGCAGAACGGTCGTTGGAAATTACATCAATTACATTGCTCAGATAGACAGGAATGTAACGTTTTAGAAGGAACAGAACTGGGATTAGGATTTCGCCTTATCTACTCTTGCAATTCGGGATATAAATTAATAGGTCAGGCTGACGTGAGCTGCTTCTTGGAGGGAAAATGGCTTGATATACCAGTTTGCACAGGTTTAAAACAAGAATTATATATTTTTGAAATATTTAATTATTCCTGAAAAAATATATATGAATTTTTAAATATCGAATTATTAATTAATTATTCAAAATGTTTGATAGAAATACGCTGCAAAGGTTTGACTACAGCATCAATCAGAGCTACCTGTACATACAATAATAAATGGATACCTTGTGAATCTCCAGTTCCACCAAGTACAAAAGCGGTATTGGAATGTCAAACTATCAGTTATCAACCTGAAACTAATCTACTAACCGGACAAAGAAGGGATGTGAGCTGTAATGAAAATGGTCAGTGGGAACCAGAACCTATGCGATGCATTGCAGGTCCGCTGATAAATATTTACATTAATAACACTAAATTAAAGTTTCACCCCACTTTCAATAGAAATGCTACGTTTATTGAAGTTTTGGATGATAGAGTCATTATATATACGAATACCAATAATCCAAATATAGACATTAGAGTATCAAAATCAAATAATGATGTAGCAACAGATGAGCCATGGGCATGGTCTTAAAACAATGAAAGAAAGATAGTACATTATAAATACTACAATTTCGAATATTTTTACATATTTTATCATTATCCTCGTTGAGAGATAATTCACATACCTGTATATTAGGTTATTTTAACAATTTTTTAAATTTAATCAGGACACCCTCTAAAGTGGTTCAATATTTCAAAAAAATAACACCAATTTTTTTCAAATTTTTTGAACAATTTTAACTCGTGCCACCGGGGCACGAGTAGATGGAAAAACACCTTTGTGGACAAAATTCGGTCGATGCTCTAATTATTAACCAATTTTAAAGTTTTTTTTTATTTGCTCGAAATTGAATGAGCAAACTCATTTTGATTATGATCCAAAGTAAAAATTGTCGATCCAATGAAGTGAGCAGAAAAAATGAAAATTATACAACAATGAATATTGGATGGGCGATTTTTAATTTGAATCATAATCAAAATTTATGCAAAATGGGCTTATGGCTCATTTAATTTCGAGCAAATTAAAAAAAAACTTTAAAATTGGTTAAGAATTAGAACGTTGGCCGAATTTTTCTGCCCACTGTGCGGGGTCTTGAAAGAAGGATGTTAAAAAGAGTCCGATTTATGCCCAAAAAGAGTGTTTTTTATAGATTTTGACTTCCTGAATATGATAATGTTAATAAAAAGTTCGGGATCGATAGAGAACACCTTAAAAATTGAGCATAAATATGACACATTTAAAGAAATTTCAATATTCTTGTTTACTTTTCAAGGTGTTCCTTAAATGCCACGAACTTTTTAATAATTTTGTCATATTCAGGAGATCAAAATCTATAAAAAACGTTATTCTTTTTACTTACACCTTTTTGGGTTGAAATCGAACTCTTTTTAATGTCCTTTAAAAAGCTGTGGCTAGTTAAATTTTTTGTTAAAAAAATAGATGTGATGCAAGTCCATGTTAAGTCGTGGTGTCAAAAATAGGTACGCATAGGCCGGTATTCATAGTCGATTCTTATTTTAAAACCGTCTTAGGAATCAGACTATGCATTGAAGATTAAGATTGAAGATTGAAAAATTCAAATTTGACCAATCGAAATGAAAGGAGCTAAAATTTCTTTGTCTTTATTGGTCAAATTTCAATCTTCAATCTTCAACCTCAATCTTCAATGCGTAGTCTGATTCCGGCCTTAAGTAATGTCTTAAGATGCTAATACGGCTTCTTGGTTCATATCTAAAAACTGTACTTAAGATGATCTTAAATATAAGATTTGACTATGAATACCATAGATGCAAGTGCGTGATATATTTTATCGCATATTTATTTATGCCCCCGATGGCATGGGTTAAAATTGTTCACTAAAAAATTTGATATTATTTTTTTGAAATATTGAACCATTTTAGAGGGTGTCCCATTAAATTTCAAAAATTGTTAAAATAACAACCACCCTACTGTGTACATATATTACAGTTTCTGTTTAAGTTGATTTGAAATTGTTTCCTAGTAAACCAAAGTTGGAAATGAAAGTATTAAATCCAATTTTTAATTACTATACAAATGCTATGTATAAATTTATATACTATTAAGTGTACGCATATACGTACCGAATATATTTAATAAACTTTTACGTGACTTTTTGATATATTTCAATCTCTTTCCCATCCCATTAATCATAAAATTATCACAATGGCGTGCAATGGAGTTACAGTAATTGTGAATTATCTCCTTTTGTATAATCACGCATGTCCAATACGCTTTCTTGTATTATTATGTCGCGACAATTTTTCCAATTGAAATATTTGTTGTAGTATGCGGCACTCTTCCTCCCCTCCTTAAACCGACCATTGTAGGCGGTGTACTGCCGAGTATCACGGAATTTCCGTGGCACGCTACGATGTATCGCGATGTACCAGGAAACGAGTCAAAGAAATTCTTCTGTGGAGCGACCATTATTCAAGAAGAACTCTTGATAACGGCAGCTCATTGTGTATATGATGAGAACAATAAGCAACCGATTAATGCCAGATCAATTTATATATTAACAGGAAATATCTTTCGTGATTACGATTATCCTCATAATTCAATCGTTCAAAAGAATCAGGTTTGGAAGTATACATATCGCAAATAATAAATTAATCTAGAAAGAACATTGCTGATCATAAGTGTAGATTTACACATGCCTTCTTGCAGGTAAAACAGATTTACATCGTGCGTAATTATCAAGGACTTACAGGAAATTACTTATGGGATATCGCAATATTAGAACTCGTTAAACCATTTGTATTGTCAACTTGGTTGGTTCCTGTATGTATAGATACTATAAACGATAGAAGTTTACCGGAAGTAGGCTCTTCTGGAAAGGTAGCAGGATTTGGTAGAACCGCATCCGGTGAATCTAGCGCAGTTTTACAGGCTCTAACAGTACCTGTAATTCCGTTCAGCCAATGCATATCCGCTAGCCAAAATGCTAATACACAACAATTTATCAATGATAAGTTTTGCGCAGGTCACACAAATGGTTAGTGAAAGATCTATTAAATATAACATTAATTAGAATAACGCTATATTTTTGTACTAAATTCATCAGAAAGATATTTGTAAAAAATGTAAACTTATTTTAATTTATAGAAGAGTTATATAAAAAAATAGTAAGAGGAAAGGATAAATTTAAGAATTGTTTTTAAATTTAAGATCGTTCTATACAAAGCTGAAAAAAGTAGAAAGATAACTTACAGAAGCATTGTGTTGTTTCAGGTTCTTCTGTCTGCGATGGTGACAGTGGCGGCGGATTAGTCTTTCAAACTAATAATTTGTGGTATCTTCGAGGTATTGTTAGTGTTTCCCTCGGCACGATACAAAAGGATGGAATTGCTTATTGTGACAATAATTTGTATTCCTTATATACAACACTATCCAGGCACATTTCATGGATACAAGATGTAATTACAAAAATAGATCGAAATCAGACACATACATTATGTTCAGATGAATCTCAAACGAGATGTTCCTAAATTTATTAATGGTACCATTAATTATTATATACAATTATCGAAAAAAGCATTTGTCTTGTGCCATGTAAGTCTAAACTATTGATAAATCATCTACATTTTTTGTCAAATGCATAATTATGTGAAGAAAGTTGCAACTCTATTGAATGAAACAATTAAAGACTTTTCTTAAGTTTTTGTATGTATGTGATAAATGAGATTAATTTTACAACTCGAGCTGCGCTTACTAACATTTTATGTTTTTAAAAAATTCTTATATTTATAACATAAATATAGATAATGATATAAAAAATGGATAGAGAGAAATAGAATTTTAATTGTCATATCTATTTTAACTTCACATATATCAAGTTATACGAAACATGTTTAATAAAAAGATCTTTAAACATTTTTTTTTACATAATGTACAATAAATATGTTTTCTATTATATGACTTACAGTAAAACATTTTTAAAAAATGAGACAAATAATTCTATGAAGATATTAATATCATATAATAGTTTGATTATTGCAACTTACAAACACTCAGGTTTCTTCAATGCCTTTTCTTTATTGGATGGTACAGATGGCAAAGCAGTTACATCTTTACTTGGTGAAACTAAACCTGTGTATTATATATTCCATCATATTATTTTATATAAAATATAATAAATTCCATAATATTTACCTTCCATGCATAAATCTTGCAAACGTTGCTTCAATTTTTCAATCTCTGGATTTGAATCAGGAACTGCAGCGAAAACATCTACATTATCCTCATCTAACAATTCTGCCAATTCCCTTTCCAATTCGGTATCAGAGTCTGCATTGTTTAGTGTCTCAGATAAAACTAAATCTATCTCTTTGTTCTCTTCTAAAACCTAGTGATCGAATAATGGGTATTAGTTCTCCGTTCGTATAAAATAATCACAAGTAATACATATATAACACAACTATTTACTTCATTAACATCATCCATAACATCTCTGACACCAAATTCTGTTAAACCATTTTGTCCGATTTTCTTCAGTACATCAGACCCAGTTTTATAAGCAGACAATACAGCAGAGTTAGAATGTGCATCCTTGATATTGTTGATGAGAACGCGCAGATTTGCAAGAGCTTGCGCACGCTTTTCTATGGTCTTTTCTAATTCCATTTTTCTTCTTAATTGCGCCTTTGCCATCTGACGCAATTCTTTTCCCAAATACAACTTCGCTTCATTAACAATATTGAGCTTTTCATGCTCCAAAAGTTCTATATCTTTGATTAGTTCATTTTCCTGTTTTGTCAGTTTATACATGCCTTCTTCTACCTCTGTAATTTCATTTGCTGTTTGCACACAGATTTTAACTAGTAGTTCACTATTTAGATTGGAGCTCTTCTTAAAAACCACTTTTTTCCTTTGTTTTAACCATTCTAACGTTAATTTCACTGCATTCTCGGAAATCTGCTTTTTTGTATTGCTCTTGCAATATTCTACTATCTCCGATATTGGGAACAACATATTATCTTTTTTAACTTCAGCAATGGAGAGGATAATATCACCTAATTCTCGTACAATTTGTAAATGTACGTATTTAATTTCTATACTATTTGTCTTCTGGCCGACAACATAATTCTTTACCTTGGAAAACGACCAGTTAATTGGCTTCTTTACAAATATGTCGATTGACCATGCTGTCCATGTTTCACATGGTTCTTTAAAAAAGTCAATCTCTTGAATAATCTCGTTATTTCTAAAACAAATTTACAGAATATACATATTAACAAAACAGAAAAAAATATAAAAATTAAAGTATTAAATTTTAAATTATATACCCTATTTTTTATTATAAATAATTACCGTTAGTATAATAACTGATTGACTAATAAAAACGTTTGAAAAAATGTACTTATAAATATATTTTCATATATTTAATATACGAAATTAATATTTCTATTAAATATATATTTAATCTATATTTAACAGTTGCGACAATACCTTAGAAGCTCCTCAATTACAGTAACTAAACATAGCGGCGTGCAGCCTTTTCTTTTGAAGACTTCGTTCAAATCAATAATAGAAAAACTGCATTGCATGGTATGTTTCAGCCATTCGTATATTAAATTGTTCCAGAACTTGTATTTAGAAATCCAGTCTTGCGGGTTTGCGGATTTACTGCGAAACGGCGAGAACAGCGCGCTCATCCTTTCTTCTTGATTCCAGCATTCTGGAAATTTTTCTGCTGGTAGTGGCGAATTGCCACTGGTGTTCCCACCGATCATTTTACTGTCAATGTCAATGTCATTCATGAGATTAATTGAATAAACTTTTGTAAATCACTTCATGACGCACAAATTAATTTTAGGTTATAAAATTAAAATCTTGCTTAATCCTAGACATGCGTTCTATTTTCGCACACATGTATCTTCCATCGATGTTTCTCTCATCTTTATCAAACTCATTCTGACTGAGAAGTGCTTATGCTATAAATAGAAAAGTATTACACAATTATAAATAAAAGAAACAGATCCTCTCCAAACGTGAAATGACGTGCAGTAGACATTAAGCCGGAATCAGACTAGGCATTAGGCTGGAATCAGACTACGCATTGAAGATCGAGATTGAAGAGTGAAGATTGAAATTTGACCAATGAGGACAAAGGCCGAAATCAGACTAGGCATTAAAGATTAGATTGAAGATTG